GAAACCGGTTATGAGGACTTGCTGTATGGTGGAAGAGTTTTGACTTTTTTTGGATGGAAAGGGAAAAAATGACTGGAGTAAAGTCGGAGTTGCCACGGTAACGCACAACATTAAATAAATCGCTTCTGTGGAGCGTGCTTTTTATCAAAAGTTCATGCCTTTACCGTGGTGTCAGTTTCCTACGGGTTTTTTTTTCATTTTGAGTTTTTCTTCTTTGCACACCCACAGTACATAAAAGGCTTTTCTAACCACATCTATCCTGTATAATTCCAGGCAAATGTTGCCTCTATTGCAAGAAAAAAAGAAAAACCACTTGTTCTGCACATTCTGGTGCAGAGGCGTGATTTGCTTGGTGCAACCAAAGGTGTAGAAACTTATATGGGCTGGTTAGATGTGGAACAGCCAATGAAAAGGAGAAAAAGAAAATGGCTCTCATGGCTTTCATTGATATTATTATTTTAAATGTGCTCTGTTTTTGTTCAAAGGTACCACATAACCTATAATGTATGAGTGGATGTCCATTAATACAATTGCTATGTGTTTTCAAAATGGCATATTTGAGCATAGTGATGAACGATTCTGATGTAACTTCAGGTTATCTGCTCTGTATAATGTACTGGGAACTTGCACCTTGTGGGGTGTTGTTCTATTTGATGTTTATCTAAGTCTCAGGTTCTCAGAAGCATAGCTTTTAAGTGGTACAAGGTAAGGATTTCACATCTAACTCTAATCTGACTTAGTGGTTGCCAAACCTTTTCTGGCATGTACAATTACGAAAGCTCACACCGCACATTGATTATCTTTGAATGTCCTTACTCTAACTATCCTGAAAGTCTAAAACAACTTTTTGTTCCCTCTGTTTCAAGTTACTCACTATGAAGCTCTGATCAGTTCCTCTTTAACGTCCCTTTGTATCTAAAGAAGTTGAAAAAGAATCTATTATGTTTCAGGCTTCTGCTGATTGGAAGGAGTCACATATAAGCATCAGTTCCTCATCATTTTTTCACTTCTTTAAACATGTTTGATTTGGTTGAAAGTTTATAACTCTTCACTAATTTTGAAGCCTGTGATTTTTATTTTTGATAACTGAAGCAGTTGTTACTGGAATCATGTATAGGGAGAGGTGTTGCTGTGATGTTTGCATAGTTTTGCAGGTTCTGAGAGGCATGCTCTCCATTTGACATAAGGCTACATGTGAACTGGTTGTGTTAATGTACGGCAAACCCCTTCCCCATCTCAGTGGTTTACAAACTTTTTTTTTGCCATATACAACAGCAGAGGTTATAGACTAAGAAGCTATGATCAGTTCCTGTGATCAGTTACACTATGTCAGCTAAACAAAGCTTTCAGCAGTGATTAAAGTGCACAAATGAAAACAGAAGACTTTCAAACAAACGTTTTCATAGTGTAGATTAATAGTGTTGTTAATCGATTTTTTAATAGTTTTGTCACTGATGTGCAGAGAGGATAAAACAACACATGTACTGATTTTGATATGTTGGTGTCACAGTCACACCAACATGATGAATAAGTGTTTTCAGTTTACAACATTTACAGGCAATCTAGAGCTTTTTACTCATATGTATCTAGATTTTACTCACAGCATTCAAAGTTGGGAATTCTTGATTACTTAAAGACTAATGATAACCTTGTTTTATGTTTCGCTAGCTCATTAGTGATGATCTCTGTCTCTGGCTGCAGTGTTAGCTTTACGTTGTCATTTCTGAAAAATGCAACAAAAACTCTCTGTCTCTCTGTGTCTTCAGAAACAGCATATATCTTACACATGGTTCATCCTGTGAGTCAATTCAGTAGAAGGTGTGTTCAAGGGACACTTCATGACACAGTCCAGTGTACATATTCTCCCTTTGGCCTGCAACGTTGTTTATCTATCCAGGTTATTTCATCATTATTTACTCTGTTTGGGAGATTGAGGCTGCAGAACTGTTTACCTTGAAGTCAACAAAGGTACACAGCGTAGACAATGGAACGACTAACTGGCATTTACCTTATGGTATTCAACTGGAAACTTATCTCTTTCTAGAAGTCAGTAATCTGCAAACATGGCTGTGTGAGCGGTTTCTTATGGGAATCATTTCACAGTGCAGATGAAATTATTCATTGACCCATGTCAAGAGTTACAAGAGGCTGGTGTCGCAGACAGGATTTATGATCAGCGGTGTGCCCTCATTTATAATCTTACCTGTCTGAGTGCTTCCTAGAAAGAAAGTCATAGCAATATAAAACTGCTGACAAGGAGAATCTTTTTTTAATTTCTGAAAAAAGACATTGCTTTTTAAATTTAATTGAGGAGCTGTCATGACACACTAAGGTCAGATATGAAGTTCCACTGGGTTCAGTGCTCGAACCAATTCTTTTTACATTTTACGTGCTTCCCTCGGACAGTATCACTCAACATGCATTTTGATTGCTGTGCACATGATACCCAGCTCCATTTATCCATGCAGCCAGATAACACATAACAATTAGTCGAACTGCAGGAATGTCTTAAAGACATAAAGACCTGCATGACTTCTAATTTCCTTCTTCTAAATTCAGATAAAACTGACATAATTGTACTTGGCCCAAAAATCTCATAATATGACTGCTATTAGAATTTGGTGCTATATAAGTAAAACTGAATTGACTTTTTCAAATTTGTTTTTTGGCATTTTGAGTTCCTTAACACCTCTCTCTCTCTCTTTCTGTCTCTCTCTCTCACTCACTAGATGACTTAATATTGTTGCGAGAGAGCCACATATGTCTTTCCCTTCACTTGTAACCAAGAAAGGAAAGCGAAGGAGAAAGCTGGCAGAAGATCTCTGCTTTTTGTTGTTTTCTTCTCCATATGGAAAGGAATCTCTGATTTTATGTGTGTAGATAAACACATAAGTTCTTATTTTTTCATTGTATCTTTAATGTCTGTAAGCAAGATGGGCAGACTGTGATCATAAAGGGATAGGCAAGGTCAGCAACAAAGTTTAGGTAGGCTGCGGTGTTTAAAACATGCTCAGTAAGACAGGATGGATCCATGCTTTCATGTTCACGCCAAAGTCTGTATCAACCATCAGAATGTTGCAGCAGGAATCGAGACTCGTCCAGCAAGCAAGTTTTTCTAATGTGTTTCCAACCTTTTTTCCCCCAATTCTGGTGAGTCTGAACTGGAGCCTCAGCTTCCTGTTCGTCTTTAATGTCCCTTTGTATCTAAAGAAGTTGAAAAAGAATCTATTATTTTGCAGGCTTCTGCTGATTGGAAGGAGTCACCTATAAACATCAGTTCCTCATCATCTTTTCACATGTTTGATTTGGTTGAAAGTTTATAACTCTTCACTAATTTTGAAGCCTGTGATTTTTATTTTTGATAACTGAAGCAGTTGTTACTGGAATCATGTATAGGGAGAGGTGTTGCTGTGATGTTTGCATAGTTTTGCAGGTTCTGAGAGGCATGCTCTCCATTTGACATAAGGCTACATGTGAACTGGTTGTGTTAATGTACGGCAAACCCCTTCCCCATCTCAGTGGTTTACAAACTTTTTTTTGCCATATACAACAGCAGAGGTTATAGACTAAGAAGCTATGATCAGTTCCTGTGATCAGTTACACTATGTCAGCTAAACAAAGCTTTCAGCAGTGATTAAAGTGCACAAATGAAAACAGAAGACTTTCAAACAAACGTTTTCATAGTGTAGATTAATAGTGTTGTTAATCGATTTTTTAATAGTTTTGTCACTGATGTGCAGAGAGGATAAAACAACACATGTACTGATTTTGATATGTTGGTGTCACAGTCACACCAACATGATGAATAAGTGTTTTCAGTTTACAACATTTACAGGCAATCTAGAGCTTTTTACTCATATGTATCTAGATTTTACTCACAGCATTCAAAGTTGGGAATTCTTGATTACTTAAAGACTAATGATAACCTTGTTTTATGTTTCGCTAGCTCATTAGTGATGATCTCTGTCTCTGGCTGCAGTGTTAGCTTTACGTTGTCATTTCTGAAAAATGCAACAAAAACTCTCTGTCTCTCTGTGTCTTCAGAAACAGCATATATCTTACACATGGTTCATCCTGTGAGTCAATTCAGTAGAAGGTGTGTTCAAGGGACACTTCATGACACAGTCCAGTGTACATATTCTCCCTTTGGCCTGCAACGTTGTTTATCTATCCAGGTTATTTCATCATTATTTACTCTGTTTGGGAGATTGAGGCTGCAGAACTGTTTACCTTGAAGTCAACAAAGGTACACAGCGTAGACAATGGAACGACTAACTGGCATTTACCTTATGGTATTCAACTGGAAACTTATCTCTTTCTAGAAGTCAGTAATCTGCAAACATGGCTGTGTGAGCGGTTTCTTATGGGAATCATTTCACAGTGCAGATGAAATTTTTTATTGACCCATGTCAAGAGTTACAAGAGGCTAGTGCTGCTGACAGCATTTACGATCAGTAGTGTCCCTTGAGTTGTAATGTTATCTGTCTGCATGCTTTTTTTTTGTTCAGTGGATGTACAGCAGTTTGGTAGAAGACAACTCCCTTTACAGGTGCTGATAACGCCAAGGACACAAAACATTGTGTCCTTGGCCCATTGCTCCATTAGGTTTCATAGCGAGGCGCGTGATGTGTGGTATGATCAATTTGTAACTTCCTCCCTCTTCCTTGGAATGGAATAAAGGAGTGTGCTCATTACTTAGACCTGAGATTTTTGATGTGTGTGTGTTTGCTCTCCTGCATGCATGCAGTAATAAAATAGCTTGACCACAGCTGAACATACTGCAGACCTTTCTTTTTTTTACAGAAAATTCCACAACACATCCCTGTTGTACCTGTCAGTTGTTACAGAAATAAGGTTTATAGCATGAATGTTTAAAGCTAGAGAAAAATTGAGAATGTAGCGGTTGGCATACTGTCACTCGCTCTCAGTAGATGACCAATTATTGTTGCAAGAGAGACATCCACCCCCTCACCAGAGGATTATATATTGAGAGAGAAAGACATACACACCCCTGTCTCTTCAGTTGTTGTCAACAAGGCAGAAGGAAGAGTGCTGGTAGGGGATTGCTGCTTTTTGTTGTTCTCTTTTCTATATCTGAAATTAATCCCTTATTTTATTTGTGCAGATAAACACATAAGTTCTCTTTTTTTTGTAAGGTCCAAGTTATTGTGAAATTCCTGTGGGAATTTGTGATGGGTTTATGCTGGCTGTGTGAGCTTGGGTTGTTAATTTTTGGTTTGGAAATTGTGACTGACTTCAGATTCTCTGTATTTTGGTTTAATGTTCTTTATTTATGTCATGATTTTACTATGGGGCTGTCTGCAAAGAGGGAAAGACAGAGTTAGTACTGGCAGATGGTGGGAATTGGGAAACAGAGTTCAATGAAACTGAGTTCATATTTTTGATTTGGTGGTTTGCAGTATTGAGGTAACAGGGGAGAGTGTCAGACTGTCTAGCCTCTGACTGTACCCCTCTGACTGTACCCTTTGCTCTTCCTTTTGCCTTCAGAACTGTTTAATTATTTGGGACATAGATTCAACAATTTTCTGGAAATGTCCCTCAGAGAGGGAACTCTTTTGTTGTCAGGTATTTTCAATAACAGTAAAACGTTGGTTCCAAAGTTATGAGTGATAAATGTTGCTGTCTTATTTGTGTGGAGTGTCCAATTTAAACTTGGTCAGGTGGTGTTTCTCTTTGTCTTAATCTTATTCTATTTGTCACACAGGAAACATTGCATTGAAGAAGTGAATATGATTGTCGTCCAACTCATCATACTTTTTTTGATTTTTAACCAACATGTTGCTGGTTTGACATGCAAAACAGGTAAAGTGTGCCTTTTATCATTTTACTCACTCTGTATAATGCTTTAAAATCAGTTTTTCACTTTTTAAATTTTATTTTGAAAGTATAGTAATTACTGTAATTAAACTGTGTCCTTTCTTTGAACACTTTGAAATCCTTGAAGGTGAAAAAGTATCCCGTAATGGAAATGGATGTGAACCCTGCAAACGAGGCTCTTATCAGGATCATGAAAATACTTCAAAATCTTGTAAAGCATGTAGAACGTGTGACACTAGTAAGTGCGGAAGCTTTTGTAACTTATTAGAAAAACAACTGCTATGTGAGCAGCTGATGATAAACCTGCTCTGTTAATGGAGACCAAACATGTAGTTCACACTCAAATTACGACATCAGGATTAAGAACATTCTTTATTTATTTATTTATTGCAGATCATGGTAGTGACATTAAACAGCATTGTACCAGATTCACAAACACAAGATGTGCGTGCCGTGAAGACTTTGTTCCATGGGACAGTGATTCTTTCAACTGCAAATGTGCTGAGGGATTTAAACGAATAGGAGGTACAAGACTGGATCATAATATTGGATCATTTACCATACACACTAAAGAAAATGTCTTTTTAAATCATCAATTCTTTTTTTCCTGCTAGGAGAATGTAAACGATGTGAAGAAGGATTTTTCATTACATCTCAAAACTCAGACTGTAAAAAATGGAAAGAGTACGTATTCTAGTGTTTTTAGTACTTTTATGATATATGATTAAAACAAATTTTCAACAGGGTCTGGACGTGACGCTTGTTGTTAACAGCTTTGTCATTTATCTTTCATTCTAGATGTAAATCAGGAGTGAAAATCAGTGGAACTGCAATGTCAGATGTTATCTGTAATGAGCCAAACAGTGATACTTACAGCACTACACTTCCCACATCAAACACAATTACTACTCTCCGAGGTTTAATAACTCAACGTCCACAGTGGGAGGCCCAAACTCAGGGGATGGATACTACTACTACTCCACGAGTGGCCACTTCCACAAAGAAAGTGCTTCCAACTCCTAGATCTGTTAGCTCTCCTCCACAAGTAGCCACTTCTACAACAAAATCCAAATTATTTTGGCACAGCCTTCATTTTCCATTGTTTCTGAGATGAAGGCACAGATTTAAAAAAAAAAAAAAAAAAAAGCTATGTAAACTGTAGCTGACTTTTTTTATCTTACCAGGTATGGCTCATTATCTTGGAATTTCAAATTTGTAATCTTTAAAAGGCTTTTGTCACTCTGACAATCAGGGAGGAAGGAAATGGAATACTTATAACTGGAATTTGTTCCAAATTTGTTTACATGAGCAATCCACGTAAGGATAACTTAGATGTCTATAGCACTCATATTCATTACATGTATACAATTGCCACTACTGCTACTGTGGTTTAGTAAGTAAAAGTATTTTACAGTTATCTTTTTTTAAAAGATTGTTTGAAACATATGAATCTGTAAAAGTTAAAACATTTAAAACATCTTGTGTATTATCTGTATCACCAAAACATTATTTGCTATTAATGCGCCTGCAGCAACACAACTCTGAAGTTGGGCAAAAGATGTGCTCTAGGTTGCGGCTGTGTTATATATGGGAAGTGCTGATTGGCCCAAGTGCAGCTCTTTCATCAGTGGCAATTATATGTAATTAACTTTTAATGTTGTGCATTTTCTTTGATTTATAAATTGTCAATTTGCTTAGTCTTCTTCTTCTTTTTGCCTGTCCTGTACGGCATTGTAGCAATCAGAATTACTGTCTGAAGGTCAAGAAAAATGCCCAAGAGATTTATTTTTCCAAGTGGACCATTACAGCTTTTGCAATTCTGGTTCAATTGATTGTCATAGTTTATTTGATCTTTATTATTATTATTTTGATTTAAGTTATTACAATCAGAATGGACAGGACAGAGAAAGAAGAAGGAAAGAGAAGTTCGGAAGAGAGTTAACAGACTGAGAGGGAAAGAAAAATAGAGGAGAAGAAGGAAGCAGATTGAAAAAAAAACAAGCAAAAATAAAACAGCACAGTAAGGAAACCACAGCAATAACCAATATGGGCATGAGTAACAGCAATTAATAAAAATGTAATGTTAACTGTACAATACATGATATGTTTAGAGGCAGCAGCCAAGTGAGATAGTGTGTGTCTGTAAGTTGTTTGTACACCTGTATGAACCTGTATGAACACTTATGTGTAAAACCTGTGTGTGTGAGCACATTCATAAGATTTCTCCATGTAAGTGTCTAATACCCACATGACTTCTGGCATGGTAAGTGGTATGTCATCAAGACATGGGCCAGGCCGGATATAGATGGCACTGTTTATGTGATGGCATGCCATATCTGGCCAGATTGTGGTTTGGTTTATGTGGCCCAGGTTCATAGAAAACAGGTCTGGCCCGGATCTGGCATCAAACTTGCACTTCTGACTGACCGGTGTCATGGCAGGGTGTATGTCAACCCGACGTGGGCATGGCTTGGCAATGATGGCACATGTTGTTATTACATGGCTTGATTAAGGTACACATTAGGCTGACATTTGGGGCAAGAGCTGAAACTATTCTGGTCCAGCACAGGGTCAGCAGTGTGTTTGCAACTGGCCCGTGGCTGCACACAGCTTACACATGGCCCACATACCGCAAAGAATGACGGCCCTTTGGTGGACCAGATCAGGTTTGCCAGAGGTACTCCACGCATGGGCCAGCACAGGACCACCAGTGTGCCTGCAACTGGCCTTGTGCTGGGCCATGTGTGTGCCACCTCTGGCAAACCTGATCTGGGCCACCAAAGGGCCGTCATTCTTTGCGGTATGTGGGCCATGTGTAAGCACATTTGTGGGCCAGATCCAGGCCATACAAATTTTGCTATGTGGGTAGTGGGTGCTAGGAGCCATAGCCCTGCCCCCCAGGACATGAAGCAGGGATGGAGGAGCTCCGGGCCACGAGCAAGGATTACCACCAGAGGGGCAGTCACGTCAGCCACCTAGAAAAGAGCTGTGGAGTGCCTCGGATGGGGGTCACCCAGCAGCCAAGGTGCAGAAGTCACAGGGCCTGCAGCACTGAGGCTGCAGGCTCCACTGGCAGCCAGCTGTACCATATCAGACTGAGCCCTGGGCCCAGAGACCCAGGATCCAAGGGCCCTTCACACCCTAGAAGGGGCCCAACAGAGCCAGGAGGGCCAGTGTGCACCAAGCAGCCACAGGAGTGAGCCAGTATATACAAACAGGCACATACAAATACAAACATGCACACACATTTCCCCCCTCATGCGCACATGCACAAATACTCAGTACTCACCTGACATGGAGACACACAGAAGTGAACCCAGTACACACACTCACACTCCCCATACATACTCTATACTCCCAGGTCCAGGCACCACAATAGAGAACGGGGGTGTGTGAAGATCCCATACCTCACTCTACCTCCTCATATGTGGTGTTGATGCGTGCTGTTCTAAAATGCATTTAAAACAGGGGAGTGGCATGGGGCCGTTTGAAGTGAAGTGTTGCTTTGTTTGCTTGGTGTTGGTTAATTTGCTAGTATTTGTGTTCCCGTCATGTGTCCACCTGGTCTTAAGATGGAGATATTTTAAATTGCTGTTTTTATTTGTGTTTAGTTCTAGTCATTTGACCTCTTTTATGGGCACTGTATTGCTAGTTTATTTAGTATATTTTTGCATTTTTAGGGGTAAATAAAGACCACTTTTTTCTAAATACTAAGTGTGTCCTCGTGCTTAACCAGCTCAGTTCCTCACACACTATGTCAACTATACAAAGCTTTGAGCAATTATAAAAGTGCACAAATGAAAGCAGAGTTTTAAGAGTTTTAACAAACAGCAATAGTGTTAATTTTGTCGCTGATGTGCAGAGAGGACAAAACAACTGTAAACTGATTTTGTTATTTTGGTGTTCATAGTCACACCAAACATGATGACTATTTTCAGTTTACAACATTTACAGGCAATCTAGAGGTTTTTACTCATGTATCTAGATTTTACTCAGTATTCAGAGTTGAGAATTCTTGATTACTCAAAGATGTACGATAACTGTTTCGTTTTTTTGAAACTGAGGCTGAAAATTCTGCACAAAGGTAGCTTATACATGATAATCTTCATATCTGGTTGCAGTGTTAGCTTTGTCTCTTCTGCAAAATTCAACATATACTCTCTGCCGTGTCTTCAGAAACAGCAAATATATATTCCACATATGTTTCATCTTAAGAGAGAATTCAGTAGGAAGTGTGTTCAAGGGACACTTCACAGCACAATCAGTGCACATATTTTTCCACTGCTTTGTAGGCTATTTATCTATCTAAGGTTATTTCATCATTATTTACTCAGTTTTGGAGATTGACGCTGCAGAACTGTTTACCTTGAGAGCAACAAAGGTACAAAGTGTAGATAATGGAACAACTAACTGGCATTTGCCTTATGGTATTCAACTGGAAACTTATCGCTTTCTAGAAGTCAATAAGCTACAAACGTGGCTGTGTGAGCTGTTTCAGGTAGGAATCATTTAGTCTTTCATGATGCAAATGCATCATGATCATGCAAATTGTTCATTGACCCATGTCAAGAGTTACAAGAGGCAAGTGCCACTGACAGGATTTACAATCATTGGTGTACCCTGAGATGTACTGTTACCTGTATGAGTGCTTTCTTTGTTCAATGGATGTAGAGCATTTTGGTAAAAAAAAAAAAAAGAAAGCCAGCAATATAAAACAGCTCACAGGGAAAAAAAATTTGATTCCTGAAAAGAGACATTGCTTTTTAATTTTAATTTGGGCGTTGTCTTCACACACTGAGGTCAAATTTGAAGTTGCACTGGGCTCAGTGCTTGAACCAATTCTTTTTACATTTTACGTGCTTCTCTCGGACAGTATCATTCAACATACATTTTGATTGCTATGCACATGTTACCCAGCTCCACCTATCCATGAAGCCAGAAAACACATAACAATTAGTCAAACTGCATGAATGTCTTGAAGACATAAAGACCTGCATGACTTCTAATTTCCTTCTTCTAAATTCAGATGAATCTGACGTTATTGCACTTGGCCCAAAAATCTCAATTAGGATTTGGTACAACCAAAGATAAAAACTTTGGTTGTAAGATTCAGATAATTATTTAATAAAAGTGAGACATTTTAAATGAGAATAAGAAAGAAAAGTATGTCTTCGTGCCCCCCTTTCCCTGTTAATGCCCTACCGGGCCCCCCTGGCAAAACTTTGCTAGACACGTCCCTGCACAGTTACCAACTGTCAGCTACTTAGAAAAGATCCTGGTGTTATTAGTCTCTCAGAAACAGTTCATAACTTCCCTTCAACTCATTCATGTCACCTAAAAGGTAAACCTGTTTCTCCATCACCTGTTCAGCTCTGATGATTCTACTGGTTTCATCTGCATGTTTCCCTCTCAGCAGATAACCAAACCGATATCATGACCAGCAGCTTTTACAGCTGTGGCTCCAGCAAACATCAGCTGATACTAGAAATTAATGTTAAATAAATTCTAGCAACAGCTGATGAAGCTTAAACGTGCTGCTGTTGTTTAACGCGACATCCGGCGGTTTCCTCTTTCTGGCGCAAAGTGGGAGATAAACAAACAAGAGAGAAAAGCCGATCAGCTGATCATTGATCAGTTTCATGGTTGAAGTAGCAACAGGAGAGGGAGGGGGAGAGAATGAGAGAAGAAGAGGCAGCTGCAGCGTAAAGACGCAGAAGAACTCCACCTTTGCGTCTTTTCCCATTCTAGCTGAACTCCGGGACAAACTGTGTTCCCTTTCTCCTCAAATGAAAAGCGTAACATTTTCTCTGAATACGAGACGATTCCGTTTTTCACAGGAAGGTTGGCAACTCTACTAACTAGCCTTATGAATAAAATAAAGTTCACTATCAGTAGCATCATAGCACCCACCCAGCTGTATAGAAACTCTGTCATGCTAGCTAGCACGCAGTACGAGTTACTGTAACTGACTGTAAAACGTCAGCACAACGAAAATAAACTAAACTTGGTTTATATCTGACCCAAATGGACTGCAGGTCATAACTTCCTACCTGAAGTTCAGTTCACCTGACACTCGGACCGGCAGCCACCCCGGGTCTCTCCTCCTCCTGTATATCCTGAGTTATTTTTACACATCGACCAGCATCTAGCCAATCCACCACTTTTCACTGTTTATACCGTTACAAAAAATAAAAAATAAAAATCATCGGCCCATAAAAACGAAATATCAGATCGGGCATACCGGACAAATAAATGCCCGGTATGCCTGATGGCCAGTCCAGCTATCGTCGTGCCACCAGGGGTTGCCGACCCCTGGTGTAGATAAACACACAATTTCTTATTTTTCCATTATCTCTTTAATGTCTGTGAGCAAGATGGGCAGACTGTGATCATTGGATCACAAGGGAAAGACATGGTCAGCAACAATGTTCTGGGGCTGTGGTGTTTAAATCATGCTCAGCTAGACAGGATGGATCCATGCTTTCATGCTGTTCAAAGTTTGACTCTACCATTAGAATATTGCAGCAGAAACTGAGACTCATCCAGCAAGGGAGTTTTTCTAATGTGTTTCCAATCTTTTTTTTTCTTTCGAATCCTCAGTTTCCTGTTCTTAGCTGACAGTGTGACACTGTGCGATCTTGGGTGTAGACCATCTGCTTCGTTGTTCAGTGAGTTCTACATTCAGAGATGCTCTTTTGCATACCTTTGATGTTGCTTATGTTTATGTTGTTCCTATTGTTTTCCCTTCAGCTTGAAGCAGACCTTCAATAAGGCATTTTCATACAGATAACTGCTATTCAGTAGATATTTTCTTATCAGACTTTTCTCTGTAAACTCTTGAGATGGTTAGGTGGGAAAATCCCATTAGATCAGCAGTTTCTGACATACTCAGATCAGCCTGTCTGGCATGTTTAAAGTCACTTAAGTCGCCTTTCTTTGCCATCCCAATGCTCAGTTTGAACATTTTAAATACAGCAGGTTGTCTTGACTATGGCTTGTGAGGTAGCTGCTTTAAGAAGTAGTTGAATAGGTGTACTTTTCAAAATGGCCAGTGAGTGAAACTAGCTTTGTCATCATATGTTACCAGTTGGGCTGTGTGTTAAAGAGAGACAAACAATG